GATCTGAAGTTATACTTCCTGTCCCTTGTTTCTCTAACCCTTCTTCTATCCTGATCACACTTAGATGGTGTCGTGGATGCTGCAGGGTGCCACCCGGACCTCTTTGGGCCTGTTTTGGGCAGCCCAGGGCTGTCAGCCAACTCACTCTCGGGAACCCCCCTCAGCTGCAGAAAGTCACCTTGCCCGAGGTCCTGCTCCTTCCCCAGGGCTGGTGCTGTTTGGTGCCATTGAGTTGGCTCCGACTCGCAGTGACCCCGTGTACGACAGAAGGGAGCACTGTCTGGTCTGCGCCATCCTCACAATCGTTGCTGTTTGAGCCCGTTGCTGCAGCCACCGTGTCCATCCACCTCATTGAGGGGCTTCCCGTATCGACTGGCAGAAAAGGGGGTGTGAAGGCCTGGCTTCCTCGCCCACACTCTGCAAAGCCACCCTAGCTTGAGCTCCCATGGGAGGTGCTGAGGCCTCTGAGGTGCCTGTGCTGCAGCCCGTGGCTCCCTCAGCCCAAGCAGCCCAAACCCTTCACCCACCACAGGTGCCCACCCAAACTGCCTGCAGGCAGGCCTCTGGGAACCGACCCAAACCACCATGTTTAACCCACCTTGAGAGTTACTCAATGCTCTCACCTCCCTCCCAAGGCAGACCGGTCCCTCCACACACTTCATTCACCTCCTCTCCCCCCCAGTCTGGAGCTGCTGAGATCATGGGTAGTCAGCCCCCACGCTGTGATACGTCTGTTTCTCCTTCCTCGGGAATTACGTCTCAAAGGCTGGTGAGGACAGTCTAGCAAGTTTTAACACACTTTAATGAGCAAGCTGATACAATGTGAATAATGTAAGATACTCAATTATTAAAGGGTGGATCTGTATGTCAGCGCAAGTTCTGTCCCACTGGTACAGTCTCAGAGCCCGACACACTGTTTGTTGTTCACAAGGCTTAAAATTAATTGAAGTATTTAGAAATCTTGTTATTGGGAAATGCCATTTGCTATATCCAACAATAACCTGGAAAAACAAGCCGAAGATATTTATCTTTGTTGAAAAACATGCAGCAGTTCTCCTGATACCAACCAAACTCTTCGAATCTAATTAGAACACAAATTCCTAGGTGCTTGGACACCTCTGATGTGGGTCCGTGTTTTCCAGTTTTGCATTCACTAGTTTAAAATAGCCTTCAATACTGAAGTCTGGCTCTGCGGATGGGAGGGGTGCTGTTTGCTGTTGTAGAGTCAGCTCAGAACCGTGGGGACCTTATTAGAGAAGAAAAGCTTGGCTGGTCCTGCGCCATCTTCACAACCTTTAGTACAATTGAGTCCACCGTTGCGGCTCGTGTGTCAATCCATCTCACTGAGGGTTTCCCTTGTTTTCACTGACCCTCTACTTTACCGAACATCACGTCCTTCTCTAGCGATTGGTCTTTCCTGATGATGTGTCAAAAGCAAGAAGGCTGAAGTCTCACCATCTGTCTTAGTTATCCAGCGCTGCTATAACAGAAATAACACAAGTGATCGCTTTAACAAAGAAAAGTTTATATTCTCTCACAGTCTAGTAGGCCACAAGTCCAAATTCAGGGCGTCAGCTCCAGGGGAAGGCTTTCTGTGTCGGCTCTGGAGGAAGGTCCTTCTCATCAATCTTTCCCTGGTCAAGGAGCTTCTCAGCACAGGGACCCCAGGTTCAAAGGATGTGCTGTGCTCCCAGAGCTGCTTTCTTGGTAATATGAGGTCCCCAATTCTCTGCTCACTTCTCTTTCCTTTTATCTCTTGTAAGATAAAAGGTGGTGCAGGCCACACCTCAGGGAAATTCCCTTTACATTGGATCAGGGATGTGACCTGAGTAAGGGTGTTACATCCCACCCTAATCCTCTTTAACATAATCGAATCTTGCCTTATTAACCACAGGCAGAGATTAGGATTTATAACACATAGGAAAATCACATCAATCACAAAATGGAGGACAAGTACACAACACTAGGAATCATGGCTTAACCAAGTTGACATACATTTTGGGGGGACACAATTCAATCCATGACACCATCTTTGCTTCTGAGGAGCACTCCGGTTGTATCTCTTCTAAGTCTGACTGGTTCACCCCTTTGGCGGTCCACGGTGAGTCGATGGTGGGAATCCATGGGAGAAATCAAAAGGGCAGTGTCACTTACACAATTCCTTACATTTCCTGCTGCAAATGGCTCCTGGGCCACTCTGCCACCAAGGGCTTCAGGGAAGCTGTCACAAGACGTCCCCTTCCCAACTGATGAGGAGAAATGACAGCAAGAGCGTGTGACCCCGTGGCATGCGATTTGGTCCAAAGGGCTGAGTCCATGAGTGACGGCACAAGGCATCGCTGGTGCTGAGGGCCAAGGCAGCAGGGAAGGTGAGAGCAAAACCAACTTCAGACTGTGTACACATCACCCACCTCATCTCCCACTGCCCTATCAAAAGGTTTTATTCCATTGCAAACAGAAACAAGTTACCGTCAGCAGATGTATTCTGTTAGCAGCCTAAGAAAATCAACCTTGGCCTTGAATACTCACTGTTCTCAGTGCGCTGCGTAGATTCCCCAACTCAGTCCCTACAGCATCCTACAGGGCTGGCTGCTCTGTTTTACAGACGAGCAGACGGACACCCAGAGATGTTCGGGAACTTGCCCATGACTGCGTTGAGTAACACAGACAGTAACTGTATCAGTTATCTGCAGCTGCATAACAAATGACCCCAGAATTCAGTGGGTTAAAACAAGATCATCTAGTGTCTGTAGATAAGAGTTCCGGCAGGGCTTGGCTGCGTCCTCTGCTGCAGGGTCTCGCGAGGCCACAGTTGAGGGGTCAGCCAGGGCAGTGTCACCTCAAGGCTCAAGTAGGGAAGTGTCCACGATTGCTGACAGGGTCTGCAGGGCCTCAGCTTCTTGCTTCTCCAACACAACACCTCGCTTCAGCCAAGCAAGAAAGCCAAGAAGGCAGGTGTGCAGGAGAGCGCTAACAGTGGGCCTGAGACCGCTGTCCTTAGAAAGGCCTGCTGGAAGGTAGGTGCTCGGCTGACGTCTGGGAGCTTGGACCACAGGAGGATTGCCACCGTTCCGCAGACAGAGCAGCTCACTGTGCTTGAACCATTTGTGCAAACCGTGTGGTTTATGCTGAATACCTGCCCTCTCTCTGGGCATCTGGAATTCTGGAACATATGGGGCAGAGAGCCCCTAAGTGACCCAAACCAAACCAAACCTGTTGCCATTGAGTCGATTCTGACTCATAGCGACCCTACAGGACAGAGTGGAACTGCCCCATAGTTTCCAAGGAGCGCCTGGTGGAGTCGAACTGCCGACCCCGTGGTTAGCAGCCGTAGCACCTAACC